AGCAACAGCGGTTCGAGTCCAGCCCGAGCTGAGCAGCCGCTGAGCTGCCAACAGGTAGCAGGATGGCTCAGTTAAAAAAAAAAAAAAAAAAAGAACAACAACAAAAAAGCACTGACTATCTTACAGCTTCTGAGAATGAGGAATCTGGCAGAGGCTTAGCTGGGTGCTTCTGACTCAGGGTCTCTTAGGAGGTTGCAATAAAGCCATTGGCTGGGGCTCCAGTCATCGGAAGGCCTGATTGCTTTTAAGATACCTCACTCACATGGCTGTTGGCAGGATGTCTCTGCTGCTTGCTAGCTGTTGGCAAAAGGTCTCAGTTCCTTAGCACCTGGGCCTGTTCACAAAGCTGCTTGAGGGTCCTCCTGACATGGCAGCTGGCCCTGAACAATCCGAGAGAGCAGAGAGGAAGCTGCAGTGTTTTTTCTGACCTAGTCTTTATCATTTCCATTTTATTCTGCTTATTAAAAGCAAGTCATTAAGTCCAGCTCATACTTAAGGGGAGGAGAATTAGTCTCCAACTCTTTTTTTTGTTTTTTTAAGGTTTTATTGGAGAATTGGGGGAAGGGAACAGCGTTGGGGAATTGGGGGAAGGGGAACAGACAAATTGCTGTCCTTTTGTTCTTCAGTCTAGTTGTGGAGGGCACAGCTCCACAGCCCATGTGGGAATCGAACCATCAACCTTGGTGTGAGCCTGCACACTAACCACCTGAGCTAACCTGCCACCCCTAGTTATGCATTCTTATGTCTTCAGATTTGCTTCTTGGGGTAGACAGAATAGTGGCTCTCCAAAGTGCCCTTGTCCTAATCCCCAGAACCTTTGAATATGCTATTTTACATGGCAAAAGGAACTTGGCAGATATGATTCAGGATCTTGAGATGGGAAGATTATCCTGGACCATCCAGGTGGGCTCAATGTAATCACAAGGGTCCTTATAAGAGGGAGGTAGAAGGGTCAGAATAAGAGAAGGAGATGTGACAACAGAAGCAGAGGTCAGAGTGATGCAGGGCCACAAGCCAAGGAGTGCAGCATCCTTCAGAAACTGGAAAAGGCAAGGAAGCAGATTCTCCCCTAGAGTCTCTAGAAGGAACACAGCCCTGCTTACACTTTAATTTTAGTCCTGTAAGACCCATTTTCAGGCTTCTAACCTCTAGCACTGTAAGATAATAAATCTGTGTAGTTTTGAACCACCAAATTTGCGATAATTTGTTAGCGCAGCACTAGGAAGCAAATACACTTCTGCTGTGTCCCTGACCTGGATTTCTGCTTTCCTCTATGTGGCCTATTCAAATCCCACCCAGGCTCAGCATAATCTTTAGTTTTTAACAAAATGCAATGAACACTTATTGGATGTATATCATGTGCAAAGCATCTGGCGAGATACCAGTAGATAAAAAATATGAGATACCTGACTTCAAAAAGAGCTCACAGCCTGGAGCAGGGAAGACAAGGGAGGAGGAGGAGAAGTATGGACTGAGTTTGAAGGCACCAAATGAGGTCATTGGTGTTATATTGGTGGGTTCCAGCTTTTAAAACTCATCCTGGAGTTCTCCCAGATTTAAATGATCATGACTCATTTTCTCTATTTTTCATTTAGAATTTAATTCAACAACATTTACTGAGAGTCTACTATATGCAAGACATTGTGCTAGGTGCCACGGAGAATACCCAGATACATAACTCATGGTTTCTCTACTGCCTTTTGTTGTTTAATTTGTTGTGTATGTCTCGTCTGCATTGTGGGATTTTTGTTTGTTTGTTTAAGACATATGTATCCATTACCTCCTTTGTTTCAAGTACAAAGGAAGATTCAATAATGAATAGGTGTCTTTCTTTCGGGTGCTCAAAATCTGGTAGGGAAGACTCTCAAAATAATGTTTACAAAACAGTGTGATACGTGTTGTAATAGAGGAGTGTACTAAGTGCTGCCAAGAGACCTGAGTATGGAGCTGTAAAGGAAGGCTTCAGGGAGTAGATGATGCTTGAGCCAGGACTGAAGGATGAAGAGATGTGCCCGAGGAAAAAGTGAGACAGTATGAGGGAAAGAGTGGTGATCAGGAAGGGGGAAAAGCATTTTGGGTAGAAAGAACAGTACAGGTGGAAATGGGAAACTGAAAGAGCATGGAACGTCTGAGCAACAGCAAGTATTTCAGTAAGGCCAAAGCATACAGTGTGTCGTGGAAGGACAGGAGACAAAGCTAGAAAGGCAGGCTGAATCAAGTTCAAGAGGAGTCTCAGGCTCAGCTGAAAAGTTTGCCCTTTATGCTGTAAATAGCTCTATGTGCCTAAACAGTATTTTACTATACTCTTTGAAAAGATTCCTTCAGCAGCACTTGAGAATACAAATAGGTCTGCAGAGATGATATGGAGAAAATAGGGGCCTGAACCAAATCAGGGCAGCGGGGATAAAGAGAAGTAAAGTTGGGGGAATGATTACGTTAGTCTGCTAGGGCTGACATAATAAAATACCACTGATTGGGTGTCTTAAACAACAGAAATTTGTTTTCTCACAGTTCTGGAAAGTAGAAGTCAAAGATCAAGGTGCCATCAGGGTTGGTTTCTGGTGAGACCTTTCTTCCTGGCTTATAGATGGCCGCCTTCTCCCTGTGCCCTCCATAGCTTATCCTCTGTGCACACTTGGAGAGAAAGGTCTCTAGTGTCTCTTCCTTGTCTTATAAGGACATCAGTCTTATCAGATTAGGGCCCCACCCTTATGACCTTCTTTAACCTTAATCACTTCCTTACAGGCCCTATCACTAAATACAGTTACATTGGGGGGCTAGGTCTTGAACATATGAATTTGAGAAGGACACCCCAATTCAGTCTATAGCAGAGATATGCTTGAGATAGAATCAACAAGACTTAGTTAGCGATTAGATAATAGTGATTAATATTTTTACAGTGCTCCATAGTTTACAATTTTTTCACATCCATTATCTGATTTGACCTTTACAACACTGTAGGAGGGAGATACTATCATTCTCATTACATAGATTAGTAAACAGACTAAAAGAAATTCAATAATATGTCT